AATCCCTTCAGAGACATTTTGAATGCGTTTTTTCAACACAACCCACTGATATTAATGATATCAAAGAACTGTATACCGGTTAATTCCGATGAGGTTTCAAGAAAGATTAGGAAAGTGGTGGACAACATCCCATAAATTTGTTAAGAACACAATGGACAACATTGTGAATAGGTAGTTATCGAGATGAAAAGGGAGTGAATTTGAATTCTGAATTTTTTTCGCGAAATGAAGGTAAATGAAAATACAAAAGCAGCAAAGATTGAATGGAACGTGTTTTTACCTGTTCATTTCCAATGGTTGGAACAACAATTCCTACTAAAAAAAAAGACTAAATAAAATGATATTCGTTCAAATGATATCCTGCGAATACTGGTTTTAATTATGGGAACAAAAAGGTTTTAGCTACAAAGGAATCTTCAAAACTTCCAAAGGAAGAGAGAAAGCTATTCATTTCAAAATAAACTCTTTATAAGATGTGTAGATTATCTAGAAGTCACTTTCAGATACAAACAGAAAGAAAAACCCCTGTTGAAACAACTGCCTCCATATAAACTTCGAATTACACGAAAAACACATTTCGGAACAACTACTTTTATATGAACATTGAATTATGAGTACTCCATCCCGTAGTTTTATTCTGATTGATACTGAAGAGGCAATAAGACAAGTGTCTTACTCCGAAACATCCATGTCCGCCACTGAAAATAACGGCGTTCCATATTCCTTGTGTGTGAAAGTTTCGTGACAGACCATCATAAACAAATAGTTACAATATTTTTTTATCAACCCGAAACTTCAGGTTTCCAACTTCAAAACTGACGAAATTCACTACAATCTTTGAACCACCTTATATATGGAAGAGTGGGCAACAGCTAGTGATTTATACTATTATATTTACTTCTGAAGTATATTTTTACTTAAAAAATACAGCAACTAAAAAAAATATGCCAACTACACTAAACAATGAATAGCTTCGAAAATCGAATTCGCAAAACTAACACAACCGTCAACCACGTCTGCCCTCACGTATCTGCCCGCGTTCGGGTCGCGTTCGAGGCGATGGCGCTTCATTGCTTAGACCACTGCGCATCGTCCCCTGTCGTCTTACAGCGGACGCGAAGCGTAATGGCTTTTGTTTGAAGGTGGTTGACAATGTTTCGTGGTGTATTTCATCAATTCGGACTTCCATTGTCTGATATAATATCAATTGATTTGAAATTCCTGAAAAAACATTAAAAGTTATCACCCGACGACGATTGTGGATACTAACAAACGAAACGTCGTGACATAACTTGGTTTGAAATATTTTAATTTTTATTTTCATTTTTCTTTATTTTGATACTTAATAATTCTTAATTTTCAGCTTTTATTAATATTTCAATTTTTATTTTTTGGTTGTTGTTTGGTTTCATGTTATTTCTTTGTAATTTCAGTTTTTTTTTGTTCAAATAAAATTGTTATTTTCGATTAATCTTTCTTAATATTTTTTCAGGAATTTCAAATCAATTTATATTATATTAGACAATGGAAGTCCGAATTGATGAAATGCGTAATGGCTTACTGCGTTGCGTCAAGTAAATCTTATCGTGATAACTTTCAAACGATTCGTCCAAACTACTCAGTGTAAAAGACCAAGTTCATCTATATCAAATACTCAAAAACGACAATTGAATCAATTTTTATGAGAATTTGACAGATAGTTTAAAATGTGCATTGTAAAAAAAGTATCCAAATTAATTGTATTTATGGCTCAGTATTTTGCATATAGTGGCTACCACATAACAGGTAGATATATGCTATCGCGGACTTTTATTAAGAAAGAACTATTCAAAATGAACAATATTACCGTACATTATCTTCATGTAACTCCAACGGTATAGGCAGCGCACGCCAAGATAGCTCACAGGGAGCAAGAATTTTTCCAACTTACTTAATAAAATTTTGTAAATTGTAGCCCTTATGTTATTCTGATGTATAAGCTGTATTTATGTAAAATTTCATCTGAATCCGTTCAGTCGTTTAGGCGTGAAAGAGCCGCAAACACATACATATATACATCCATCCTTACAAGCTTTCACATATATATTAGTATAGATAGATAGATAGAGATAGATAGATTGTGTAGCGTTCCTGTGAGTAAAGAAGATTTCCATATTTGTTCTATGAAAATCCAGAGCTAGAAAGTCAAAACCTTCCTCTCCCAAAAACTAATATCTCCTGAAAATATACCACCTTCGATTCGAAGTTATATGTATTCACTTCTATTATTTTCGAACACAATTTTTTAGAAAATTCTGACGGAAAAATAATAGAATATGATGTGCACTTTACCCCATTTTGCATTTGCTATTCTAGTAGTGAAGGTATTTTTAGCGATTTTTCATAATTCCTGCAACTAAAAATTCCAAAAACCATAAAAACGAACTAAGCAGTACTCCTGTAAGAAATATATCGAATTTCTCGTTAATAAATCAGAATAAATACCATATTTATGTACTAATTACAGAAGCACTCCAATTGTCGCCAAATTTTCTGAGAATAAATATAGTTTCAAAAACTAAAAAACACGCTTTTGAAGAAAATCGAACTGAAAAGTTGAAAATATTTTTTTAATAAGCTTCAAACAATAACGAACGTAAAATACTAGTATCAGCGTGTTTTTTAGTCTTTTTGAACTATAATTATTTCATCTAAACTGTGAGATCAATCAACCGTATATTGTTTAGAAAAATGACCATTGATATTTTCCGATTCCGGAGACGAAGCCTGAAAATCAGCTACCAAGCCCAAGGCAGCAGGCGCGCAAAGAACGGTTGAAAATGAAGCAGCAGGTGCGCGTGTTGATGAAAATTTTTTTTTTCAAATGAAGAACTATATATAAAGTGAGTTCGAATTATATCAAGGTGAAGCTAATATAAAGCGTGTAAAAATGATAGTTGTTACGAAGGTACTTGCGAGTGAAAAACTTCAACAATTTTTCACTCCAGCTTTACGTTTTATGGGGAATATGAAATAACTGAAATTTAAGTTTCCAAATAATGTTTTTGATTTATGGAACACTTATTAATTCATCATATAAAAATCGATCTTAAAAGCAACCTTAATTTATTAACTCAATAAATAAATTGTCTTTGGTATTCATAGCCATTGTTCACCAATTCCTCATTTATATTGAAGAAGACCGCTGTTATCAAGAAATATGTTGTGTTTCATCTTGAGGTGAATCGCCAGTTCTTGTTTATAGTAATACCTTTTATCACATATATAACAAACCAAGGATTTCTCCTTCCCACATTCCACTTTCTGATGTCTTCGCAAATTCTTCTTCATACTGTATGATTTTCCACAAGTCATACAGAAAAATCTCATCCTTCCTGAAAAGGAAATTGATCAACTGAATACGTGAACAGACATATAGGTCAGTAAGTTTCAATGCAAATTCTAATTTAGCACTCGTTCATTCCAAATACCTGTTGTCAAAGCCAGAGCTGAGTCCATCTTTTTTCACTTAGGAAGCCACATAATGGTGATGTTCATCAAGAATATACTATACATCATGAATTCAGAGGTTTCACAGGGTTTCTTCTATACAGAGCAGCAAGATTACAATTATTTGTCATTGAAACAACATTTTAAATGAGAAATTCAGTAAGGAAAATATACCTTTTCTAGGTATCTTTCGCTAATTGTATTCCATTCCAGTTCAAAATAGTACATCAGGCATGGAGTGTGTTCAATTGAAAAGTTAAAATATAGTGTTTGGATCAAGTGTAAAATTTTCTTTCACGCAAGAACTCTTTCTGAAATAACTGAAAACTTCAATATATATTTTGTACTGACAAGTAGAACCTTTGAGCTATAATATTCTTTCACTCCCGGGTTACATTGGTCACGTTATGTATTATAACAACACCAAATTTCCATCTGTAGAAAACAATAAAACTAAAAGGTTAGTTCTTGACATGGTTCACATAAGTAAAAGTTAGAATTTTTCAAACAAAATATCGGAAATGTCTCGCTTGCGTTTACGCAGTTATTGTTCTTGGTTATTCACATTTTGTCTTCATTCGAGTACCGCCTGCACGGTACTGACGATGCCCAACAGGCTGAAACAGCTCTCTACCGGTGGATCTTAAATTAAAATCAATATGTGAGTGATCAGAATAGTACCCAACAGACAGCATCGCTTGTCCAATAACAGAGTAGCACAAAGTGATAAACAGATGTACAAGTTAGTATGTCTGTAGCAGATGTATAGTGAGATATCCACTGAGAAAGAAATAACCTACAGACTGAGTAGAGAAAATTTGGAAAAAAAATCAATTCCTATATAACATGTGCTTCAATCTCTTTTTGAAAATCAAAATTTTGGTGGAAAAAATGTCCAGAACTAGATTGCCGCCAACATTGGAAAACGTTAAGGTTTACCGTTTATTGCGAGATAAAAGGTTGGAGGTGAATTGCTTCTGGTAAAAATGATCTTATTACATTTGTCAGGATTCAGTTGGGATTTTTTTAGCAATGCGGTACATGGAGAAAATGTCAAGGGCAACATCCAAAGCAATGTAATCTTCAAAACATGGAACTGTTTTGTGAATTTTCAAGTCGTCAGCGTAAAGAGCAATTTCAACATTATTAAAACACTCAGTGATGTAGTTCAAGAAAATATTAAGGAGTGGTCCAAGGTGAGAACCCTGAGGAACTCCAGACGTGACCGACCGTAGCTGACACTTACCGTTGTTGATTGCCACAAATTGCCTACGACCAGTAAGGTAGGAGCCGATTATGATCATTTATGAAATTGGTACACAAAAATGTACAACTAAAGACCGGATACCTGTTTATGAAGGCTTTTGACGATACCTACCGACTTGATTAACAAAAAGTGCATTATAAAAACTAGTTGCAGGTATAGTGTCGGAAAAACAAATTTTGAAATCTTCAGTTTATTGAATATTTCAGATGTAATTGCCCATGATGTAAGAAATAAAATTGATGAATTAGTAAAAAGAAAATTTAATGTAAAAAATACATTAACCCTTATTTCTGTCGGGGATATTTATAGTACCATTTTTCAAATTAAGCTAGGTATTCTGGATGAGCGTGTCTAACATGCAGCATCAAATTATATTTTTGTTTCGTAAATTTGTCACAATAAAGGCAATGGAATTTTTGTTTATTTCCGCATTCGTATTTCATGTGTCTTGTTAGCGTGCCTTTCCAACTGTAGGATCTTCCACAATCATGGCAGGATATATTAGTTTGTCCTGAAATGGAGAAATTCAAAGGATAATTCAAATGTGGTACAAGGCAAAGACGTTCAGATAATTCGTATCGAAATTTCTACTGGTACTGATAATTCGATAGTGTTTTTTTGCTTTATTTTTTCAAATATCGTTTCAAGCTTGCGGTTTGATAGTTGTACTAGGAATAACACTCAAAGTTTCATTACAATTCTATCAAAAAATGTTTTTTCTCAGAAGAAAATTTCAAATAGTGAAAGTTTTTCCATTGCCAAGTATAAATTACTCAGAGAAATCGGGAAATTTGAAAGTTGAAAACTAAGCCCCAAATTTTTTAATATTATCGGCAACGAATAAATCCAATTGATAATATAAGCTCTTATATAGAGTCGTATCGATCCGCCCCGGCTCCACATGGGTGCAATGCTGATACTAAATATACATATGAACGCGTGCGATCGCCGCTACTTATAAAGTGCTATAGGGCGAAGTGCGGCCGTCGACGCGCACCCGGCCCCGCAGCCGGTACCGCCGTAACCGCTATGTCCCTGCATTTAAAATCTGTAATATCTTCGAAATAGATGAACATTTCAACCTAGCTGACCACTATTATAATATTCATGCAGTCATTGTTCATTGTGGTTCTGGCGTTGAATTATTACGCCTTGGTCAAAGAAGAAACGGACTGGTTTAAGTTTGACAATTGTCGTGTCACGAAGTGTTCTGGCGATGCATTGAATTTATTGGAGCCTCTGGAGACACAAAAAATTTGGTTTATAAGAGAGAGCACATTGTTAGATCAAGATCTTCAGATGATGTGGTGCCGCAGGTTTTTCCGGGTTTTCCTGCAGCTGAAAAAACAAATGCGCCACTGAAATCAATGAAGTCGCCCCAGAGCGCCAATTAATTTTTATTGTTGTTTTTATTTTATTTTTATCGTCGTTTTAATAAAATCTTCGAAAATATTTATTCAAATTAAATGCTGTGGAGGGCCATATTGATCTATATGAAATGCACAATGTATTAAAGGTACTTGGATAAGGATCAATGCTGTATTATTTCTCGAGGATAAAAAATGGTTATTTTGGGTTATCTTCAAGAGATATACATACAGGGTGTTTCAAATTCGATCCTCACCATTGGGATCTCGGAAACTATAAAAGATATGAAGATGGTTAAATTGGCATTTGAAACAAACCAAACTCGGTGAGATTTCGATCCAATAACTTGAACATAGTTCGATGTGGTTGTCGTCTTTCGGGATACAAGTTTAAATACATTTTCGATGTCCTAACACTGTCTCTGTCGTATTTGTGATAAATTTGTATCATGTCTCTTTTTTCTTCATTCGTGAAAGCCATTTTTTTGCCGAAAATTCAAAGACTTGTACAATAACAAAATTTCATCGAGTGTAACAAATTAAAAGTCGAATTTCGAAACATCAAAGTCAAAGGCTATTATGATAAGAAATATTTGTTTTCAATATCTCCAATTTTTTGAAAAAGAATGATAACTTATGATACATTATTGAAGAGATGAAATGTGCTTCCATCCAAAACAGAAAAAATCCAATGTAGCGCCTATTAGAAAAAATAAAGTTGATGATGGTGGCCAGAAGACGAAACGTCGGATATCAAATCTGAAAACACCATTATGTAGCAGGGAAAAAGTGGCAATGTGAAAGTTCAATTTATTTTCGAATCCTTCAAAAAATAAAGCCAGAAAAAAATAAAGACCATTTTCCGAAATTTCTGTTTTTTACCGGATATCTCCGGATAAACTTGGAATTTCAATACTTTCTCAACGGCATATTGTTAGTTAGGTAACTGCGCAACTTCGCCCCTATTTAACCATCTTCGTATCTCTCATGGTCAGGATCGAAATTGAAACACCCTGTATATCAATATTGCTGTACATTTTTCATCTATCTCGAAGGGTTCAGCCAGTGTTTGCAATGTAAGCGCAATAAATGTGTCTATTCACGACATCACATCACTAACCTCCAAAATGATAGTGTTTCTCTATTCCCTGCATGTTATACAAATAAGCCTCAATTTTTAATACCTCTACCTAAAAAAAATGCAATAAAATCTGTTGCGTAGTTTTGAATATCTGAGCATAATTATGCACAGATAGCGGAAAGCGACTTTGTTTTATAATACATAGTAATTTCTCTAAAACAGTGTTCAATAATTTCGTGACCTTTCTTTGTATTCAATAACAGACTTTACGTTATGAAAATGGAGTCTTCTGGATGAAGCGTGACTACGAAAATGTTTTATTTTCATATTGCCAATGAAATTAATGAACTGAAGATCATTTATTTGTTTCGAATAATTCATATCATCCAGTCATTTCAATTCAAGTTGGTATTGAGAAGTTTGATATTGAAAGTGAAATATTTCTTGAACAACTTCACCATTATTATATACTAACAATCTCAGAAAGTGCTCTTCAAGAGAAGTTCAAATGTATGACAAAATATATTATTTTAATATGCAGATAATCAGAAAAGAAGTCAAGTCAAAAAGTTGAGTCAAAGATCAAAACGTGTTTCGATCACAAAGTGATCATCTTCAAGAGGAAAATCAGTTTGATCTTCAAGAAAATCACTTGGTGATCGAAACACGTGACGAGGTATTAAAATAACGGTTTAGTGTTGAGAGAAAACTCCAGTAATATTCAAATATACTTAATACAAAATAGACTCTTCAATTGTCAAACAATGATATAAACATAATATTATCTATTGACAAATTCGAATTTGAAAATCACTTCTGTCTACATGTGTGTCGCTTCAATACGTTGTCGTAAATTTTCATCAAGTATCAGCCAATTCCATCTATTTTCTCTTCTGATATCATGTACCGGTGTCAACTTTACGTTTTCTCTTCGTTGTTATAGGTGTAAACAATGAAAAAAATTCTTAACAAAAAATGATTTATTGGTGGAGCTATTCATAACCATTACAAGGTTACTGTACAAAAAAAAAATCAGTTTAATTTTTTTAAACTAGGTGAAGTTCGATCGACGATAAATGCATGCTTCGAAATGTAACGAAATACACCTGAAACCCATGTTGGAATCTTCAATCCCAACATGGGTTTCTATAATACCATTTCACGAATTTTTCTAACTTATCAGGATGAGACTTCCTAACGTGCATCATCAAATTATACTTCTGTTTGGTGTGTCTACTACAATAAAGACAATTGAAAGTTTTGCTAACTCCGCATTCGTACTTCATGTGCCTCGAAAGAGATCCCTTCAAAGAGTAGCATCTCCCACATTTGGGACAAGAAATGTTTTTGGTTCCTGAAACAGAAGCAGTTTTCAGTTCAAACGGAAGCCATGCAAAATATTTGTACGTAACATTTCACCATTTTCCATTTATACATTGAGAAAGACTGAATGAAACAACTGAAGACTCACTATATTTTTCATTCTGAAAAAACAACAAATGGCCTTATTTATTAATTCCAATGTTTATGAACAAAAATCTTAATAGTAGAGGAGACCAATAAAAGAACAATCAGGTATGTCGATGAAAACAACTTTATGTCGGGTCACGGAAAAGCTGAACTTTCTTACAGGAACCGGAGGTGAATTTTGCTGCTTTCAAAGGATATTGGGGACGCTTTAGAAAATATCTTCCTAGGATTGATCAACGCGTCCATCGAGAAGACGAGAAATCGAAAAGCTGCAGTTGGACAGATGACATAATAAAAGGTAAAACTGGAACCTCTGGCATATAATTAAATCAAAAACAAGCACATTCCTCAATCACCAGAGCTTCAATGCTCTCACAATTAGATGTGTTTTGTCAATTCACTATAACCAGAAACTATTGAATATTCGACCAGAGGTGAAAAACCTCTGCACGGTTGAATCTAAGGCATCGTCAGGTGTAGCTGACGTGCAAAAACCCTCATATGGTAAGGCTGTCGCGGGTATCAAGGTGAGAATCTTGCACCTTGACTATCCAACTACATCATTAACAATGAAACAGCAGAGCATATACTTTGTGCCTGCCCCACTGGGGACCGAATCAGGTTTTTAGAGTTCAACAGAGCCGTACTCTTACCATCTGACCTGAAAGACCACTCATCATTCAAACTAATGGGCTTCGTTGAGAAGCTGGGTTTATTTGGTCGAATGTGAATAGGTGTGAGCCACAATTAACCCTTGCGGATTGCGGTGGAGGGTTGAATAGACCCACTCACTTTGGACCTAACCTAACCTATATTGGAGATCTTCTGATGATATTTGGTCTCCGTGTGGAAGTAATCCGGGACAACATACAATTCACCAAAACCTTCATGGAACTGAATTACTTCTTGTTAAACAACTGTTTCTACAGAGCGCATTGAGGTAAGACAATAGAAATATATTTCCCTTCACAGCTTGTTTGTTCAAAAGCAGATCTGAACTGGAAGCAAAAGATGAGTTAAATTACTTTCCTCGGACTTGGATCCTATATGTAGATGATGTATTTGCGATTTTTGATACAAAGAAATTGAAGGTAGAGGACTTTGTTTCAACTCTTAACAATAGATCCCTCAATATTAGGTTCACATATAAAATTGAAAACGACGCTAAGTTGGATGTCTTAGTGATTAGAAGTGACAAGAGTTTGAAGTTTGATGTCAACAGAAAGAATACCAGGACTTTTGGGTATATTCATGATAGATCACATCATAGTCCACAACACAAAACACATATTATTTTTACGTTCCCCCTGACTAAAGAAAGGTACGATATTGGGAAAAATGTTAACAGGGACATAACTGAAAACAACGGGAGAATTTTTGTTAATTTTAGACTCTTGAAAAAGACATAGGTTCATAGTTTATTGTTCTTCCGTATGGACCAAAATACACTAACAGATTAGATCATATTTTTAAAAAGTTGAACGTGAAAGCAGCATTCAAAACTTCTACCAATGACAAGTCGAGTATACATATATAGAATAATGCTATGAGGATTGTAACAATGAAACATACAGGCCGTTTCTTTCATCATGT